TTCCACCTGCGCGTGCCGCAGGGAATACGGCTGTAAACGCGCATTCTCTTTTCCCGGCGTCACGCGCCGCGAAAAGGTCGCGCTGTTTGTTCTCCAAAGACTCGTCCCATCTGATAGTTCGTTGTGTCGTTAGAGACGTATCTTACATTAACACGACAAGCACGGTCGGCACGCGGTCGGCAAGGCGCCAGATATTCCTCTTCATTACAAAATAGCTTGCAGACGAAAAGAAAACATTTACATTTCATATCTCCCAATATCAATATTTTGTCTGTTCATACAAAATTAATATTATATTTCTCTAGAAATGCTATGTGTACGCGTGAAAAGATATATCGAGAAAGATAAAATAGTTTCCAAGCTTTCTCGGTCTGACAACTCGAGCGATTAAATTTGAAACGTGTTTAGAAGATGTGATAATACGCGTCCGCTTATTGTTAGATCAATATGTTATTTTTTTAATGATTGCTTCGCCGTTGCGTTTACTTCGAGCGCGATGTTTAATGAAGCATGCTAATTTGACGTTTATGCCGTCCGACACGATAATAGCAATACAGATCATGTTACTCTCCGAGTGACATAATAACACATCAGTTAGCGCGGATAGACGGGTCCAAGAACAGCGCTTGGTTTCTCATTATAGTAAAAAAAAAAAAAGCCCTTTCTCCCTCCGATACCAATCTATGCAACATGCAATTGCATCCACGACGATCGCGACGAGGTTTTGCAAGCCTCGCGAGGATACGCGAGAGAGGAATACCCGGATTGCGAAAGACGGGCAACAGGTATACACATGAAAGACGCTCTCGCGCGCATGAACGATCCAGGATGGAGGAGGTCGAATCGTTCTGGACGAAGAGGACGAAGGAAGGACGGAGTTAAACGGCGAATGGCGTTGCCAAGTGAGAGAGCAAACGAGAAGGAGAAAGAGATAGAGAGAGAGAGAGAGAGAGAGAAAGAGAGCGGGAGAGAAAAAGAGCAACAGACAAAGCAAGAGAGAGAGGGAGAGGGAAAGGGATCTCAAGAAGTGGAAGTCGATGATCTCTCGATTTTGCTCTCCCTTCACCCAATGGCGATGAAGGAGCCACGAGATGCCACAGCCGCAGTCTCGGCAGCTGTTCCGCACGTCTCGCCCGAGTGCGATCAGCCGCGAATTCAGCCCGCGACCCGGTATCCCGTGTGCCCGTTCTCGTCGGCGGAATCGCGCCGCGGCTCGCGTCGTCCTCGAGGGGGGATCGGGAGAACTCGTCCTACCTCCTCGTGTGGTCCTATCCCTCGCAGCCTCGCGAGATTCCTCGCTCGTCGTCGTCGCCGCTGGACCAGTCGTCCTCGCGCGAGAGATATCGGTACGACCGCTCGGGAAAACACGCGCGCTCTGCTTTAATCAGACGACGCATCGACGGGACGTGTCGCTCTCTTTCTTCTTTTTTTTCTCTGTCTCTCTCTCTCTAACAAAATGAAAGGTATATACAATAATCGTTAATAGCCGCATTGAAGTCGGACCTGTTTAAGACCGCATAATACGCCCCATTGCAACTAGACCAGAACACAGATCCGATTGAAAGTAGTGTGACACGGTGAACAGTTTTCTCGGTGGTGTACCGCCGCGATTCGTCATGCTCGTCATCGTCCTCGACGCGCTTGTTCACGGACACTGGTCGCCTCTCGCGCCGGCAATCGGACAATCGTGTCGTGTCATCGCAACCCGGCACTTTGCATAATTCTTCATTTATTCGCCCGGCGTCTTAGTAGGTGCACACGAACGGACGTGTTACGCATTCTTAATGCGTAACCAACCGGCGCATCGATTCGCAGCAAAATCAAGAAAGTCACCGAAGAGATTGCGAATCCGCAATGTTTCTCAGATGTTTGAAGGGAGAAGCACACATAAAAATAACAGCTTGTGTTAAAAAATGTGATTCAATAATTAAAGTCATAATATTCAAGTAAAATTTCGACTGGAGATCAATTCACGATATAATAAAACAAATTAATTATCAAAAATGATAATCAAAATCATTGCTATTATTTTTCGATTACAAAATTAGAATAAATGTATAGATGCTATTTGAGCGTAAATAAAATTCATGAAAATCGCGATAACCGGTCATACTTTGATTCGTGATATCTTCCTAAGCATTCGGAAATGTACACTTGTTCCATTATAACTGTTCTTGAACGTTGCCTCCCTCGATACATCTTGCAAAGAGGAAAACAAGCGAAGCCGGACCAGCCGGTTTATCGCGACGAGATTTTGGAATATATACATGTATCAAAGGGGAGGGTATTTTCGGAGATAATAACTGGTCGCGAGTGCCGGGGTTAAAATGCGGATGCATCTGCTTTGCAGGCATACCAGAAAGCGGTGCGTAGCAATAGAGGCGACTTGCGAGTTGCACTTGCTGAATCTTCGAAACAGTTGACGCCGCAGTCCGGTCCGCGGGTCATTCAGCACACGACTAGGTCAAACAAGGTTATCGACACCGAGAAGACCTTGGAGAAGAAGGAGCTGAAGGCTGACGGATTAATCGTTACCGAGAAAAAGCGAACGGTCGAGCACGAAGAGGTAAGTCGCGGCAGTAAAAATCTCGTATAACTTCGTATAATGTATGCTATAC